GCTTATGTGGTGCTGAGGAATCGAACCCAGGGCCTCAGGCATGCAAGGCAAGCGCTCTACCACTGAGCCACCTTCCCAGCCTGCAATGTCGTTTTAAATAATATTCAGAAGTACAAATTATATAATCCGGGAAGAGAATGAAGAGAAATCATGGTGGGGGGTGGGGGAGTGTACTTTGAGCCACAGTTCCACTTGTCTTCTACTGCCTAATTGGAGATAAGAGTCTCACGGACTTTCCTGCCTGGGCTGGTTTTAAACTGTGATCCTAAGATCTCAGCCTCCTAAGTAGCTACGATTACAGGCATGAGCCACCAGTGCCCAGTGAAAAATCATATGGTTTTGATTTTTCTTTCCCCCCCCACCCCCCACCCTTTGTTCTGCTTTTTTTTTTCCTGTCTGTCATGGGGCTTGAAAACTCTGGGCCTGAGCACTGTCCCTCAGCTCTTCAGCTCAAGGCTAGTTCTCTACCACTTGAGCCACAACACCACTTCCATATCATTTCAATTTTTAAATGAGCTTGCCACATTATAGATAGGACTTTCTGAAGCTCACAGTAATGGTTATTCTCAGGAAGTTGTGGTCTGGTTCAAGTTACACAGTCTGTAACAGTAGTGTATGTTTTCGTATAATCTGCCTACATCTCTAGATCTCCATAGGAGTGGCAGAAAAAAAGATTACTGCACACTTGAAATAAATTGCTTTGTGCATATGACTAGCCAGAACTGGTGTTTAGTGTTATGAGGTTCAGGCTGCGGAAACAGCTTAAAATAAACTTGGTTTTCTATAATTTTTAGATAAAATCCAAATCTGCAAATATGAAAGGCAAAAAATTGTATGTCCTTTGAGTCAGATAGTACCAAAAATATGTGAGCAAGATTTCATCTTATTTGATTGGGTATTATCAGCCAAGAAGATTTGGGGGGAAATATGGGAGGGTTGTGGTTCCAGAATTAGTAGTTTACGCTTGTTTTGACTCTGTTTGTTCATCCCTTACCATTCCTTATCTGACATTATTGAACATGTTATATGTTAAACACTTATAACAGACGTTTAATAAGATACAGAGAAAGTGAATGTACACCATTTCTTTTTCTTTTCTGTGCCATTTTACCATAATTTTAGAATTATTAAATAGTTGTACAAAGGGGTTAGTTGACAATTTTGTAAGTCAGATTGATAATACCATGCTTCTGTGACAATGTACATTGTTTCTAATGTGAAGACTTTGGTTTCTAATGTAATGAATTTTTGTCTCTTAAGCTCACAGAGCACTATTACTTTTGCCAAATTAGAGCTGATAGTTTTTTGAAGCAACAAATACTATATGGTAAATTGACAACTGTAAAAATCCATAATAGAATTTTTTGAGACTTCTTTTTTAATTCATAGATGACCATGATGTTCTCTCTTTTCTGACTTTCCAACTAACTGAGCCTGGAAAAGAGCCGGTAAGTGAAGACAATGTTTTTCCAACAGTTTATTTTCAGCTTTCCAACAGTGTTGCCTCATGTCTAACTGGGAAGACTCTCCTAGGTTTGTGTCTTGTTTCTACTCTTCATTGCCCATGATCTCCTACGAAGCTCTGTGGTGCACTATTTCTTCATTGGTTAATTGATACTTGTCCTGACCGCTTTGTGATGGTGTAGGAAGTTAGTGCACTTACAGAAAGTGCAAGTGCATTTTCTATCAGTGCTATTCTTGGTAGCAAAAGTAAATTGGGCCAGGTACCAGTGATCACACCCTCAATCTTAACTACTCAGAAGGCTGAGATTCGAGGATCAAGGTTCAAAGCCAGAAGTTCATAAGACTCTTATCTCCAATTAACCAGCAAAAAGCTGTAAGTGGAGCTGTTGCTCAAGTGGTAAGATACCAGTCTTGATTGAAGAAACTAAAGGGCAGCACCCAGGCCCTGAGTTCAAGTCTTAGTACTAATGTGAAGAAAAAAAAGTAAAATTGGCTCTGATATCAATAAGGAGTAAGTTTCCAACCAGTAGTGGAGTAGTTAGCATGAGAAAAGGTATTAAGATGTCTCATAGATTCCCTTTTCTGTTTGTTTTTTGTTTTGTTTATATTTTTCTTAAACTTCAAAAACAGCCTACACCAGATAAAGAGATTTCGGAAAAAGAAAAGGAAAAGTATCAGGAGGAGTTTGAACACTTTCAACAAGAATTGGACAAAAAAAAAGAGGAGTTCCAGAAGGGCCACCCCGACCTGCAAGGGCAGCCGGGTGAGTCATGGCAAAGCTCTTGTTGGCGCATCGCTGTAGCCCTAGCTGCATATTGCATGTTTGTGTCTGTATTGCCTGATTCGCCCTGCTCTCTGCACTTATACATTCCATGAATTTCTGAAAAGGTGGTGAGCAAATCTTGAGTCTATTGGTAAAAGCGAGTGTGGCTTTAATGACATGTGAGTTAAAAGTACTGTGTGTGTAGAGATGAACAGTGAGCTGGAGTGGAAGCTCTTAAGAGTCCTGGGTGTGGTTCAGATGCCTGCCTAACAAGCTCAAGGCCCTGAGTTCAGGTCCTATTACTGCCAGAAGACAAGGGTGGGAATTGTGGGAGAACACAAGGGAAGGGGTAGCAATGCTCAATAAGAAATACTCATTGCCTTACTCATGTACCTGTAACCTCTGTATACCATCTTTACAATAAAATAAAAAAGAATGAGAATTTTGTGAGCATAGGCGTTTTGTTTCTGTGTTCAGTATTGTGCTTTCAGAACCTCAAACAAAAACCATAGCAGTGCAGTATTAATAGCTGAGGCTCAGTAATTGCTAAGTGAAATTACTAAGGATTATGTCTCCTTTTCATCATTACCATAGTGATAATACTTGAAATCTATCAAAACTGTTGCAAGAAAGAGTAGGTGATATCTACTTTTCTTACTACTAAGAATCCTTTAATGAGTATAATTTAGAATGCTAGTCTAATCCAATGAAATTAAGTTTTATGTCAAAGCTGCATGTTAAGGAAAATAGTGTGACTTTACATTATCTGCTGGGCTTATTACTCCCTATCAGTATAAATTATCGGGACTATTTATTTAATAAGGCCTTTGGAGTGTTTAAATTTGCAATAATAAAGAGTTAGGCCTAATGGAAGTAAAAATGAAATGTGAATTTCTTTAATTTGCTTTAAACATAGCATAATCACTTATGATTATATCCTGAAGCTGATTGTAGTATGTGAAGATATATATTTATATATAGGTATATGTGCATGTGCCTTCTATACATATATAAAGCATATAATCTACACACTCAGTTTGGTGTGTTTTGGCAAATGTATGCACCAAACATAACCATCACCCAGATCAGAGTACAGAATGTTTTTGTCACCCTAGAAAGTCCCCATCCATCTTCAGATATAAACACCCTCCCCCCAGACCCATCACTGTTTTATTTCTAATATAATACACTGGTTCTCCCTAATAAAATCACACTATGTAAATGAAAGAGAAAATTACTTAAATAGAAAAGTTCAGCCCTAATTTATATGTTAAGTCATTAGATACTAAAAAACAAATAGTAACCTAGTTAAATTTACTGTTATGTATATTTAGTATTTGGGTTATCATACCACATTTGGGATATCGTACCACAAAGTTGGTGATATTCTAGTTTTCGCATTTGTTGGCACTTGTGCCAATTGCAGTACTTCAGAACCATCTATATGGTCTATTAATTTTAATTTGTAATCACTTTTCAGCAGATGACATATTTGAGAGTGTAGGAGATCGTGAGCTAAGACAAATCTTTGAAGGCCAGAACCGTATTCATCTTGAAATCAAGCAGCTGAATCGGCAGTTGGATATGATTCTAGATGAGCAGAGAAGATATGTCTCGTCGCTGACAGAGGAGATTTCTAAAAGAGGAGCAGGGGTCCCAGGGCAGCATGGGCAGGTACGCATTCAAATCCACAGATAGGCCTTCCCCTTTGTCTGAAGGGAAGGAGAAAAAAAGGCTACTGTGCGCAGAGCTCTGGTAGGTCGTGGAGTGTTGAGCTGTTGTCTTTTTTCCTCCAGATTAGTCAGCAAGAACTGGATACTGTTGTGAAAACTCAGCAGGAGATTATGAGACAAGTAAATGAAATGAAGTAAGTATATAAATGTAGCATCTCACTGTTACGTGATACCCTTATCTAAAGAAAGGTGTATGTGTTATAATCTTCCTCCGTGAAGGTAAGAATCACATTCTGAGTTCATTTTGTAAAAACAGGGGTACTAATACATTTTAATATTTAAAAACTCCATGTAAGCATCTATATTTTAATATTTACTTTTAGGCTGAAAAAGCAAAAATTGAGCATCTTCAAAAACAAAAAAGTTTGACATAGGTACTTGATAGAGGCTGGCGTGTGCTTATATTTAGAGAACTCAAAAAGAATATGGATTTCTATGTAACAAATGTCTGAGAAATACTAGGAGAATAAGTATATTCAGCATTATAGAGCTCCAATATAAGCAGACAGTGCAGGAACTCTGTGTGTGTGTGTGTGTGTGTGTGTGTGTGTGTGTGTGTGTGTGTGTGTGTGTGTGTGTGTGTGTGTGTGTGTGTGTGTGATACTAGGAATTGAATTCAGAACTTGAACTTAGGGCATTGTACTTGCTAGGCAATCACTCTACCACTCCATCCCCAGCCCTTAATTACTTTTTGTTTGGGCTAACCTCAGACCTATGTTGCCCCTGTCTCTGTCCAGATAACTGGGATTGCGGGTGTGACCTACTGTGCCCACCTAAAGGAACTTATTTTACTTTTTGATGCTATGAAGCTACTTAGAAGCTATGTGACAACCTCTTTTATTCCCATTTCGTACCCAAAGAGAAACTGGACAATAGTTGAAACAGAGATGACAGGTGTCTTTGGATGTTAGATGATAGACTTGTAGTAAGAACGGTTTGCTTATGCCTAGAGCAGAGAAAACAGGTCAAAATGTCACATTTCCATAAGCTGAGTTTTTAGAGCACTGACATCTTTATCATAAAAAAATCTCTTAAAATGTGAACAAATGAATAGTTGAACTATTCAAGTAGTTAAAGTTAAATGAATAGTATTCTTTTATGAATATAGACTGAATCTTGTAACATGTCATTTTTCAGAACTTTTTAATTGTGATCTAATTTTTGACTTTAGAAAATGAAAAAAAGAGAAAGATTTCAAATGTCTTTGACCTGCTTACCATAGTGTTGAACTCTCACCTAACCACAATAGAGTTGTCTGAACCAGGAAATTAACATTGATACAATGCAGTAGATTAAAGTGCTGATACTGGCGCTTCTTCATTCCCCCCCCCACCCCCACCAGTGTAGAGACAGACAAGACAGGCGCGTGTGTGCATGCACGCATCTACACCCATCTTTGCCACCTGTTCCCAGCTCCCCTTGGTTCTTACCCTTTCCCACCTATTTTCGGTCTTCTTTCTTCTGTAAAGGGTGCTGTGTTCCAGATGCTCTTAGAATCCAAGCTGTGCTTAGGAATTCCCAGTCCCCCAACTCTACTGCCCATGGAAGCATTTGGTACAGACCTGCCTTTCAAACTCCCACTTAACCAGTAAGAACAAATGTCATCCATGTAAGTTAATGCAACTACACTCAAATTTCTGGGCTAGTGCTCTAGAACTTTTTCTTCAGATTTTAGCTTCAGAAGAAACCTAAAGGGACAGGAAACAGTTGCCTTTACAACTTGCCAGGGTGGCTTGTGCTTTTTATGGATTTTTATATTAGGAAATCTTAGTTGTTTTTTTCGGGGGGGGGTGGTTGAAAACAATCTTTAAATGTAGTTCGACCTTCTCACTGAAGTATTTGATGCTTGGACCCAATTCTCCATCTTGAAACTTTCTAAGACTTCTAACATACTTTTTCTGGTGTTCTCTGACTTCTCTGCTTCCATTAGTTTTCTTCACTTTTGTTCTACCTTCTATCATCCCTTAGAAGGTGCTTTTCCCTAGATTCTATCTAGACTTCTTTCATTTGGCCTATTCCCTTTTACCTTCTCCCACCCTTCTTCCCACTAGACCTTTCCCCATCCCATAACACTCAGCCCTAGGCACCAGATCAGTTTAAATACATTTTTCTTTGTAGGGCTCTAGTACTTGTAGACTGTTAGTCTCAGCAAGGCAGGAATTATATTTTTCTCACACATATTATTTCCCTAAAAATTGCTGTCCAACTTACAACATGCCCATCACAGGTAAATTAATGATCGAGTAGGAGAACTTTGAATCTGTGTACATTTAAAGTACATTTTTACTTAAGCAGTGTTCTCTTCTGAAAAGCAATATTCTCAGAATATTAAATATGACTGCATTTTTTACATGTATTCGTGTTGGAAAGTTATATTTGGAGGAAGCATTTTAGTCATGGGGAAATGTAATTCTTAACTGATGTTTTAATTCAAAAGCTGAGAGTCCTGCAGATTTTCTTGAGCACACATGCTATTAAAACTTAATTTTGTATAACATTGATTCAGAAAGCACTTGTGATATTTCATACCTACTTTTCAAGTGTCTGTTGCTTCTAACATCCTATATAATTTTTAAAAATTTATACTTAACATTCAGTATGATCTAACTGTGGAATCATAGCTTGCAAGGATGTTGTGTATTTTCAGAATTACCTTTTAATAAGACCATTACAGTAGAGACTGCCATACGATCCTTCAGCTTAACAAACTGTGTTTTCTTCATATTTGGGCCAGACAGATGCTTCTTTGGTCGGCTTCTGGTTGAAGCACTAGGTTTTGGGGGTTTTTTGGCAGTTGTGGAGCTTGAACTTTGGGCCTGGGTGCTGTCGCTCAGCTCTTCAGCTCAAGGCTAGCTCTCTGCCTCTTGAGCCACAATACCACCTCCAGTTTTCTGGTGGTTTATTGGAGATAAGAGTCTCATGGATTTATCTGCCTGGGCTGGCTTTGAACTGTGATCCTCAGATCTCAGCCTTCTGAGTAGCTGGGATTTCAGGTATGAACCACCGGCGCCCAGCAAAGCACTAGGTTTATACGCTGGTGTCATTTGATAGAAGTGCAGAGAGAAATAGGCGCAATGAACTTTTGTGTTTGGAGATTCACAGAAAGTATTCACAGAACTCAGAAAAGCTGCTTCACTCGTTGCAACAAAGTCACACAAAGTCAAGTGAACAAAAAAAACTGGGATGGATACAAGGTAGAGTCCAGGAAGAGCAGGAGCCCACTGGTCACTGTCTTCTCCAGTCACTAGCAGACACAGGGTCCCCAAGGGAGTTCAGCGGACAATTTTTTACCATGATTTGAAAGCAATAGGCATTCATTAGAATCATTTCTTCTAGTTCTGAATTTTGCTCTTTTCCTGGGCTACTGTATGTGCTGTGCTGTTCTTTTACAATGGTGGACAGTGGCACCTACCAAAAACCATAGGCAACCACTCAATCATGGCTTGGCTTATTTTTTGCTTTTTTTTTTTTAACAAAAACTGGGCTGTTAGCCCAGACTGGCCTCAAACTCTCCATCATCTGACCTCTGCCTACTCAGTGCAGAGATTATAGGCATGTGTCACCATGCCTGGCTTCTGTTTTCATTAGTTGGTTGGTTGGGTTCTTTTGTTGTTTTCAACAAAACTTTAAAAGGTATAGAACTATTTAACCTATGACTGAAAAAAAATGTCCTTCTAGTGACTTCACTGGGTAAAGGGTTTTCTGTCTCAGGAACTCCATGAGTGAAACGGTGAGGCTGGTGAGTGGCATACAGCACCCAGGCGCTGCCGGCGTCTATGAGTCCACGCAGCACTTCATGGACATCAAGGAGCACCTGCATGTGGTGAAGAGAGACATAGACAGCTTGGCACAGCGGAGTCTGGTAACCTGCTCCCTCTCCTTCTGTAGTTACCACTGCCTCACTTGACTGAAATACTTAATGCTTGAGGATGCTGATGATGGTTTAAGTTAGAATTGCTCTCTATTTCCCAAATTCCCTTGATTTTGGTTTCCTGGTTGCATAAGGTGGAGCTTAGTTCCTCTAGCCATTAACCCCTGCGGGGCAGAATGATAGCATGGGAGTTGTTGTGTGGGATTTACAGTACCATCCAATGGAAATATTTTCTGATTCCCATTTTAGTGTTGTCTCTGATCCATGGGTTTTTATTATGTCTTTGACGTGTCTTTCCCCGAAGATTCTGATCTGACAGGTTATTTGTGGGATTGGACTGGATTCTTTCCTAGCTCTGCAGTTGCCTTGTATAAGACTTAGGTGACAATACGACTGGTCCATAGTTCCTAGTGAAACTTATTAGAAGCAGACCTGGCTACTTACATTTTATATGAGGCTTTATCTTTTTTACTTCTTAATTAATTTCCTTATTTATTGACTTATTTACCTATTTATTGGGCCTCCTTAGTACTTGAGCTGTGCTCCTAAACTTTTTTGTTCTTATTTTGTTTTTATGGCAAAGTCTTACTACTTTTTTCCAGGCTGGTCTTGAACTCTCAATCCTCCTACCTCCCAAGTAACTGGGATTACAGACATGTACCACCATGCCTGGCTAGTTTTATCTTTGTAAAAACCTTTTCTTTAATTTGAGGTACTTTAAGAAATGTTAGATTAATATGTTATTAATATTAAACTGAGTTTTCTCAAGTTTACTAGCTAGTAAATGGTAAAGAGAGGAAACGTAAGTCCTCAGTTCAGCTTCTAATCTTGTTGCCTTTATATTTTTAGATGCTGACTTCTGTTGATTGTGAGGCTTGAATTCAGGCCCTTAGTGCTCGCTGAGCCTCTTTGTGCCCAAGACTAGGTCTCTACCACTTGAGAGCCACAGCACCACTTCTAGTTTTTGAGTGGTTAATTGGAACTAAGAGTTTCACAGGGACTTTTCTGCCTAGGCTAGCTTTAAACCTTGATCCTCAGATCTCAGCCTCCTGAGTAGCTAGGATTACAGGCATGAGCCACCAGCACCTGCCTTTGAAAGCTGACTTTTTAAATTTTTTTCAGTAGTGGGTTTTGAACTCAAGGACTTATGACATGGCCTTTTTATGTATAGACCACAAATACATAAATTATGTTTGTAAATTTAGCTTCATAAGTTTGTTACCGAGCATGACTTCTCATCCAAAGCATTTGTGTCCTAGTCCTATTTGAAATTATTTCTTCCTCCTCTTCCTTTTCCTCCTCCCCTTTGATGTGATAGTTGATGCCACAGATAGCACATGTGTCCTATAAACCTTTGCCTGATATGAGGTAATCATATGGAAAACAACTCGTCTTAGAAGCCATTATGTGTGGATAGACCTAGGTGAAATCTTTGTCCCTGATATTTAATTTTCTCCTTAAAATGAAAGAAATACCTACATAGATAGGGAAATAGGGAATAAAACACCTATTTTAGAGTTACAGTCGGGGGGGGGGGTGAATGCTGTGGGTCTGAGTAAGAGCCATCATATTGTCAAGTAGTTCCTTAGTGGGGTAGCCTTGCAGTTTATTGTCCAGACTAGAAGACATAAATAAAATTTAAAGGGATAGAAAGTTGGAAAGTGAATAAATGAAGATAGTTGTTTATATAGTAAAGGATGAGTTTTGTAACAGTTGCATTTATGTCTTTAAAAACTATTAGTGTAGTTATAATCCAAGTTCTTTGTCTTATAGCCATCCAATGAAAAACCGAAATGCCCAGAACTCCCGCCGTTCCCGTCATGTTTATCTACTGTCCACTTTGTCATATTTGTAGTGGTACAAACGGTGTTGTTCATTGGTTATATCATGTACAGGTAAGTATTAATAAAATGCAACCTTGTCTTTCCTCTCTTTCAGTTGAAATATTTGGTGGAATTAAATATGCCCATAAAAACAACTTTCAGCAAATGTGTAACTAATTGTATACAAGTATATATTTTTTCTAGTTTATTTCAGTTCACACTGGAAGTCCATGTATAGAATATATGCTTTTCTTAATGTATTTTATGCTTTCAAAAGCATTCGTATTTTAATATGAAGTCAGTTCTGTTTCTTTTTGAAGTCAAGTATGTGAAACTTCTTTTAATTTTCCTTTCCTTTGTTTATAGGACTCAGCAAGAAGCAGCTGCCAAAAAATTCTTTTGACCATCCTTTTTGTATGTGTACATCCTGTATGTATGCGCAAAAATGTTGTCTTTTTGAGGGAACATAAGTATTTAAATTACTTCATAGGCTAAATTATTAAATTTTGTATGAAAGAAGTGTTTAAACATTGGTTTTCAGTGAGAATAAACCTTAAAGACAACCACATATAAATGTGTTCATAGTTCCTAAATCTGTTTAAATTTCAGTGAATTTCTGATCAGTAGAATGCTGTCACTGATCAGAATACTAGAAAGTAAAAGGGTCAATAATAGAAAATGGAGGCGGTCCCTTTATTAAGAGTGTTCCAGTCTGTTTCCAGTAGTGGTTTTCCTTATTTCACACAAATGCGCTTGCCTCCTACGCCCCAAAATAAAAGGTGTAATTAAAATGGCCCTCATCATGTATTTTGTAACCAAAGTCCTTTTTAAAGGTCAGAGTTTCCTCATCTAACTTCCCATCCTCAGTCCTTAACACCACTCACTCCTGAATCGAAAACTGTTTTATCTGAGAGCTTTAGAATGTTGACAGTAAGCTCAGAACCTATTCAATGAAATGCCTTCTCCCTCTGCTGTGTTTCACTTTTAAATTGGGAGGGAAAGTTAAGAGCTACTTTTTCCTAAAAATGTCATTTAGGTGGAAACATTCCTGTGATAATGATTTTTCATGGATATTTTACCTGGAAATACATTTATTTTGTGGTGGCCCATGTTCTTGAATATTTTCATTCCAGTGGGGTCAGTTCACTATTATAAGAATCATTTTTATATTTTTCAAAGAATTTTTTTCATCCATTTTATCTGGCATATAATTTGCCTCTCATTGCATATTCTGAGGATATTTAAATTCACAAAACCTACCACTATATTCTGGTTACAGCCACATAACCAGAGTTTGTGACTTCTTGGAGACTCTTGAATCAAGGAGGCTGTTGTAGGATCAATATTAAGATTTTTGAAGGCACTATTGGAAAAATCAAGGCAATTCTTGGGATTTCTTCCTTTTGTTGGCAAATTAAGCCATGAAATGTGAGACTGGAAGATTTTATAATCTTTGTACATAGTTCTCAGAATTAGAGAAACCATCTGTAAGTGACTTTTTTTTTTTTTTTTTTT